CTGGCCGCGCTGTGCTGGCGCCGGTGCCGCAGGCTGCAGCGCACGGGAGACATTCCCGGGGGAGGGCGCGGGGCAGCGGGGATGAATCCCAGATAACGATGGCTCTGGCCCCTCAGGTGCTAAGAGGTGGCTGGAATGGAGGAAGGAGATCGAGCTGCTGTCTGACATCGCCTACTTCAGCCTCACCACATTGTCAGGTAACGCACCCAAGAGGAGCTGCTCTGGGAGAAATGCTGAGGGCAATCGTAACACTGCGGGGAGCAAAATAAAAGGATTACCGGCCTGGTAGACGTTACTCACTCCTGCTCCCCAACCGGCATGAGTTTGCCAACTGCCTTCACCGTAAGATGAAAATTCATGTCTCTATGACCGTTATTGCTTTAAGCCTCGATGCTTCTACACACCTGTGATTAAATATGATAACGCTATATTGTAATACATTTTATAAATTTGCTATTCTAATTTGAAAATGTATCACTCCTTACAATTATGTGTTTTTAAATGCAGAAAATGCTTTAGAAGATGCATTGCACTATGAAAAAGTATTCCTTCTTTAAAACTTAAATCCATTGCAGGCAGTGAATTGTGATAACAAATATATGACTCCTGTCATTTAATACAAAAAATGCAACTACTTAAGAAAACTCCAGCACTTGGCCAGTGTTCTCACATGAGCATCCTGTCACCCCTGCTTACCCATTAAGAAAATGATGCTGCAATTACCTTACCCTGCTTGTTTTCCGTTACACACACTGTTTAGGTTATCAGACCCTGGGTGAAGAGTATGTGAACATTGTTCAAGTCGACCCTACCAAGAAGAGGGTGCCTTCTTTTCTTCGACGGGCTGTCTTGATTTCTCTTCATACTGTAGTACCCTATTGCTTAGAAAAAGGATTATTGCATCTGGAACATGAGTTGCAGATAGAAGCCGACAGAACACAGCAGAACAACCCTGCACACAGCAACCTGGATAGGACCTTAGTGCGAAACTGGATTCAGAAGCAAGTTGGGGAACTGTCAGAACAGCAGAAGAAAACACTCTTACAAGTTGTGTATGTTCTTAAACAATGTATTCCCTTGCTTCGTCGACTGCATCTGGCAATATTCTATATAAATGGCCTGTTTTATCACCTCTCTAAAAGGATCACAGGAATCACATATGTAAGTGGATTTATTTCTTGTTTGGAAGTGTACATTGCTGTATTTTGGGGGTAGCTTGGGGTGGACAGTTTCATGATAAACTGCAACAGCTTAACGTCTTTATTTCTGTAAACTATGCAGCTGTATTTTGGAGGATTGCAAAGAGAAGATCAAAGCATTCGGTCAAGTTACAAGTTTCTTGGAATAATTTCACTCTTACATCTTCTTCTAACAATTGGTGTTCAGCTATACAGCTTCAAACAGAAGCAGAGAGCAAGGCAGGAATGGAAACTACATCGCAATCTGGCTCATCATAAGTATGATGATCTTTACTTACTAGGAAGGAGGTGGATGCAAAAAATGGGAAACACAATAGCTTTTATGAACAGCATTTTATGAACATCACTGGAGTTACATTTTGGCTAAAGTTAGAATCTGATATAATGTAATATTTGAGAGACGCTACTTATAAATAAGTATCTCTTAGATTTCATGCTTTGTTTTTATATTCTTTAAATCTTCACAAACAGGGTTAATACTGAAAGCAAGGTTTACTTTACATCTCTGTATTACCAAATATTTCTTGCAAGCAGGGTACATAAAATTAAGTAATATCTACCTCTGTTAATTAGAAATGTGACTGAGGAAAAGTCTCCCGGGCGCCGCTCCCGCTGCACGTTGTGTTTGGAAGAACGGAGACACGCAACAGCCACACCCTGTGGCCACCTCTTCTGCTGGGAATGCATCACCGAGTGGTGTAACACCAAAGTAAGTACAGAAGGACAAATACAGACTTGAAAGGGGAGACGAAATGAAATTTCTACCTGTGAGTACCTGTCAGTTGGGGTGTTGAAATATCATCTTTTCCTTTACTTATGCACCCTAAATCCCTTCATCCCTTTTCACCCTACTCAAAGAAACAAAGAAAAAAATAGTTCAGTGGGACCCAAAGGAACATGAGGTAAGGGGATCGTTTCTCTGACCCAACAACTGACATGCCAATGAACTATCTGTTTTAAGTCAGACATTAACATAATTCATTTATCTACTGACTTAGACTCTAATTCTGTAAGAAAGGGAACAAAAAATGATCTGAAGCCTTCACTGATTTCCAATAAAAATGAATGACTTAGAACCAAACTAGGTCTATTATTGTTATGCATGATATTACGGACTAATGGCAATTGCCACTTTTTCCTAGACTGTGAAAATAGATACTCTTTTTACTGGATAATCATGTTCATTTGATCCTGTTCTAAAAGGAAGTACAGACTGGGAAGAATTCAGCGAAGTCGATAAGTAGCAAGCAGATACTGACTTGCATTGGATTTGAATCTACCCCTGAGGACTCTTAAGAGTTTTCAGTGGGAAGCTGAAACACCATGAACTTCTCAAACATTTTCAAAACCAGTTTAGAATAATCTAGGTAGATGTTTCTTTAGTATTGTAGCCCTGTTCAAGCTATTTGGTTTCTTACATGTACAGGCATCAATAAAAATAAATAAATAATAATGAAAAGATGGTGGTTCTACTCTGGAATAAAGATTATATAGTTCGCACTTCCCTAAAATCTCTAACTGGATTTTAAAAGCTTCAGTTGAATTAGCATCAGAAACTGCCCTGTTAACTCTGTGCATGACAAAATACCTCCTGTTTATAGGAAGTAGGTTAAATTTGAACATAATACAAGCATAATTAGAAGCCTACTGCCAATTTTAGTTGGTCATTTTCACTTTCAGCTGTAGCTGTCAATATAGCTAAATCTGTCAGGAGGACATTTTCAATTCATTCCATCTCCACTGCTGTCCTAGAAGCACATGAAAGTAGTAGCAAGTTCTAAAAGCACATTACACAGCAACATTACAAATCTGAAAAGTCATCTCTTCACTGTAATCGGATCTTGGCTTGACTTTTTTTGCGCTAAAGACTTGGTGACTAATTTACTACTCTGATAGCCATTCAAAGTCCACAGTGCAGAGCTGTTTTGTGTTTAAGGTCCAGGGGCTTGAACTTGTTTATCTTTTCTTAACATGGACACTGACAATTGTTATCTTTTTAGTAAGTTTTAGTCTTTTGAAATACCTGCTGGCTTGATAAGTCTTTTGACTATAGTACAGGCTTCAGCAACAAAGAGAATTTTAAAAGCTCTTATCTTGGGAGCTGAGTGACCTGTACTTCAGTTAAATGTTTGATTGTTACTTCTACCAAGACTTACTGTTTCTTCATACCAACTGAAACTGATTTTTCTGTTTTCTTTTTTTTTTTTTTTCCCTCCAATTCCACATAAATTTAGCAAAATGAACCAAAGGTGTAGTATATAGTACAGGGTAGGTTTAATAAAAAGACAAAGAATTGATAAGAATCAGTTGAGTTCATTTTGGCTTACTGTTTAGGAAATGCTTGTTAAATAGTAGTCCTGATGAAAATTGTAAATAAAACTCAGAGGGGTGGGGGAAAAAAAAAATTGTAAAATTAAGATGTGCTCCTCAAAGAAACCTACAGTTCTAGTTTACCAAGTATATTATGTGACTAGATCTCTGCAATGAAACCAATCTCTTAATAAATTATGTGTCAATATGCATAATATAACACTTGATTTTTCAAGTTAAGATGGCAAAGACGCTATCAGCCTGCTAGGTCTTCTGCTTCAAGTAAAATAAGGAGAAGTATTTTTAATATGAAGGTAGAAAAACGAAAGAACCCATTACCTCTGAAATGAGTATACAGTAATGTATCTTACCTTACACTCTCAAGGATAATGGAACATCCAACTAGAATCTTGAGATGATGATCACTTGATTGACTTTGCTAGATGGACTTTCTTCCTTGGAGGCAAAAACCCTAGAAGTCCCTTTTCTCTAAGACAATGATGTTACTTTAATGCAACAGTATTATACACTGTTATGATAACCATGTAAAGCTTTTTAAGCTAGCTTCACCTAATCTAAAGCTTGAGATGACATGAGTGTCTGAAACATAACCACGAAGTTATGGCTAAGTTTGCATTACAAATTGGTCTGAAAAAAAGGCTTAGAATTATGGATACTATTTTTTCAAGTAGCTAAACTTATTTATATTAAAAAAATTAAATAGCATTTCAATAATTTTAGCTAATTTATTTTCCTTTTGCAGGCAGAATGCCCACTGTGCAGAGAGAAGTTTCATCCTCAGAAACTCATCTACCTACGTCACTATCAACAGTAAAGCAAAATATTTTCCGTTTCATGGCAATGGCCTCAGGTCTCTTCCCTTTACAAAGTGGCCATACAGCTCAAGTTAGTCCAAGAACAAGGTTTTATTATAAAACTGGTAACTGCCTGTACAAGGTGGCACTTGTTCCTGTTTTACGAAATAAATATATTTCTGGCATCAGCCATTCTGTTTCTTGTAACATGGTTCTTGACCATATTGAAAACACTTATTTCTAAGGTGATTAGGACAAATGTTATTCTCTTCCTTCACTTTGGAAAATGGAAGCTTTACATCAAATTCTCATTCTCTAAATACAAGTGCAAGTAGCAGTCTTCCACCCTTTTGATGTGTACTTAAGGTATGAGTAAAGTTGTGGGATTTGTAAGACTCTTTCTTCTAACATTACAAGAGTCCATGCTGTAGGCTTCAAGAGGAAAAAACAATAGCTGTACACAGATTCTTAGTTTAACTGCAGTGGAAGATCCAATGATTCCATTTTCAACAACAAAATTAACAGTAAAGCAGGTTTGCTTGATTGATAAGCTATGGGACTTACACTAAACCAAGAGAAGTAATAAAAGCAAGGAGCCCCCTGAAATGCAGAAGGCAGGCTATTCTAAACACTCATCTATTAACATTCAGCTTCCAAACTCAAAACTTTTCTCTCCATCACTACCGAATATAAAAATTTTTCATCAAGTAGTCCAGACATATAAGCTATAGCTATGTAACAAGTGTCTCAGAAAACCTCTAGTACAATATACTAATAGCAAACTAAGGTCAAGGATAAAACATCATTACCACAGCTTATGTTTGGTCTGTTTTTTACAGCCTCAACATGAAGGGAAAAGACTCACTTTAGACCTGTGCTCCCTCCCTGCTTTATGGGAATAGGGACTATTTATTCTAAACCAATATTTTAGAGTGTAACTGAGGAGAGACTCAGCAGCATCACCTTCTCAAGGTTAACTCCCAATTAATTCACTCATAAAAGTAGTCAGAGCAGCAGGGGGGGAGAAAAAATGCTAACAAGATATGCTAACATTTGTGTATCTTCTCATTATTGCCTAACAGGAAACCTACAAAACAGTTACTTATATTCTCGCTTATATACACTCAGATGGGGCAGGAAATCCAGATGATCCACTTTTTGTGGATAGTTAAGTTACAGTTTCAATAAGACTTTCACTAATGACACTGAATTGGCACCAAATACAGACTTGTGTGTGCAGAAATCTGAAAGTAAAAGCACTTTTAATACTGAGAGATCCTGGTTAGCTGGTTAACCTTTAAATATGGAAGTCACCAATAAAAGGGTGGAGCTTTACATCAAACAAATTCAAGAAAAAACCTTTCAGTACTGCCCCACATGCCTCAGACTGTCAAGGCACAACGGAAGAAAAATGGTGCATCCACATAAGGACTTAAAACACAAGCAAATAAGGGAAACGGTGACAGAGATTTAACTGCACATAAAACAAGTGGGAAGTGATCAATGATTAGAAAATTCCTGTGAGGTTACCCAGTTAAGTTTATCGTGCATTCTGTAAGAATAATTTATTTTTTAATCACTCGGAAGTGATAAAAACTCCCATCATTCATAAGCAGTAAGTCATAAAGTGATAAAAAATACACCAAAGTTTAAGAAAATGCCCTTCAACCTGTCTGGCCACAGCATACCAAGAATCAGCTAGGGAACTACACTCTGCCTTTGTTCCAGTTTCAAACTTCAATTCGTATTTGAAAACTATTAGTCCCACCAGATCTAGGACAACTATTTCTACCTAAAAAAGAGAAGGCATTCATTACAAACGCACAATGAAGAATAAAATAAAAGGCAAATAGAAATACTTTTCTAATTCACAATGGTTGTCTTAAAACCGGATTTGTCAAAGGCGGTCATCCCAGTTGATAATTTTAATATCAATAAAAAAAAATCCCTTTCTATTTCTCACCCTGATTCACCCATATATTCTAGAACTGCAGCAAGCCTAAAGCTGAGTCAAGCCATTCAGCTTGGGGTCAGTGAACCACAAGTATCTATGAGTGGTATTTTTATAAGGTTCTTTCTGGCTACTGTATTTCCATTATTTTAAATGCTTCACATACATTACTAGGTTCCATAAGGTTAACAAAATACAGGCTTATGTTAACTAAAACTACCCTTAACTTTTCCAGGATTATTGAAGGCTGACTCACAGGGCTCCACATTGACATCGTCTAACAAAGTCAATTGAAACAGCTCTTAATACATTTTCCTATTACCTGCCTGTTGAAGCTGCCATTACTCTCCATTCAGAATCTTCAAAGAGCTCATCTTTTCCCATCTTCTGCAAATATACGTGAATGCTCCCCAAAGAGCTAAGAAAAGCTGTTACAAATTCTAAGGATAACCATAACTGAAATGGATTTATAACCACCATAGGATTACTGTATGTATAGAAAGATTAATAAAGGACAAGAAAGGGGGACACTATCTTTTAATAAATTTTGGAATTAAAAAGTCACTTAATAAAATTGCAGTTGTATCACATCAAAAAGTTTACATGCAGGTCATTTATCGCTCTTTTTTTCCCCATAGAAAATGAAAAGCTGTGTTAAAATTGGAAAGTTTGTCCGTTGTGGCCAATTTGGGTATGATCTTAAAGGGTTGCATGAAGTCAACTTAAATTAACCAGGAAATCCTTACACGTGAAAGAAATGAGACAATATTCTCCAACTAATAAAAATTAAAATATAATATATATTTATAATTCCAGGTCCTCAAAAGAAATTGTGACAAGTTTTGAGTCACCTTCAGAAGAGCCCAATTCTATCATCTTCTATGAGACGTCAGGGTGAAACTGGCATTAAAACCTTACACAAATGAGTTACCTCAGAAGTTATTCATATATTTTTCCTGCTGCCGAATCCACCATTTAACACATTTCTTATTCCTATTTATGTTTGTTTGGCTATAACTCAATAATACCATGCATATAGCAAACCGGCTTAAATTCTGCATCTGTTAATGTCAACTGGACTTTTGTATGAAAATAGCACACTTTCATGAAGCAGAAAACAGCATCATGTGTGCCACCTTATTTTCCTCCACATATGTGCACAGCACTTCAGGGCCATAGTAAACAAAACTATGTAAAAGCATCCAACTTTCCCCAGTGTCATGGCAGCTGCAAGGGATCTTAAACACCTTATCCCAAATCCATGGGACTAGCATAAGTAGCATAAGTTTCTCCAACTCTTAGAAAAGATACTAAATTCAATGCAATTTGGTTAGAATGCCAGTTTCTTCAAGAAACTGATAGTTCAGATAAAAATAGCAAGATTCTCGTAAAATGAAAATTCAACTGCTTGGTCACCACCCTCGTAATCACTTTATATGAAGAAAAAAGGCATTGTTACAATGGCTCAAAACCATTCCTTTATGTAGAAGAACTTGTCAACAGGTTGATTGCACCTTCTAGCTAGCAAAGGTCTTTCCCACATCTTCCTTCCCTTTGTATTTCCTCTTGCCATGTGTGAAGGGTATATATCTGTATTTTATCATGTGCTGTGAAGAAAAAAAAAAGGCACTTTTTAAAGGTCATAAACTTAGATGTTTTCCAAAAATGCTTTAGAATACACAGTTTAAATTGCTAAGTCCTCTAGAGAGGCTAGTATTGCAAAATTGATGACAAACATAAGACTTTACATTTAAATACAGTTATCAGCCTAAACTTATTCTCAAATTTGGGTATATACTCTCCAAAAACCTGTATAGTACAGTGAAGGTAACAGATTGAGATAGCAGGAATAAGAGAATAGCATGGAGGTATTAATCCTTTACTACCCTTTAACCTTTAATTTTCAATTCTGAAAACAGTATTTATTCAAAAAGAATCCACACTGGTTCTGTTTTTAAAAAGCTTGACTAGAATTTATTAAAAATTTTCTGAATGAGTTGCCTATGTTCTTCTCCTTTCCCTTTTCTCATCCACTTTCTTGAACAAGTATGTTAAAACTCTCCTTTTCACTTATTAGAGACTCTAAAAGACCTCTTCATTAAAAATAACCACAAAGTTAACTTAAGAAAGAAAGTGGATGGAAAACTCTTAAGACTTACTGTGTGTAAAAAAAAAAAAAAAAAAAAAAAAAAAAGGTACCCTGATCTCAGAGTGAAAACCTTTGCAAGCAAGGATCAAATTTTGTAATGGTATGAAAACTTTTCCCCCCCCTCAAGAATTTTTATTTCCTATTCCTTCCTATTCCTATATTTGCTTTACATTGCAAGTACAGGCACATTTGGGTGTTCATAGATATAGTAAAAGAAGTGTGCACAGTACATTCCATGACTCTGAATTGCTCATCTGGGTGGAAGCTTGGAAAAATACTGTAAATTTTGAAAACACAAGCGCTCCCCATCTATCCTAAATAAGTTACCTTGATTTGCCTCTTCATAGTGATACAAAACATCATAATGAAGTACATCACAAGGATTGGCCAAAACACAGGAACGTTGAAAGCCTCGAAGAACGTACAGGTCATAGCAACCAGGATGCCTTTAGTGGCAGAGTGCCTTAAAAATAATGTTAGCAATTACTCCTTCAACCCAAGCCTCCACTTATTTGATAGATATATTTAATGGATAGTCAGATGGATCCACTCACCAGAATTTAAACTCTGGGAGCCTTCTAATGAAAGGTCGAAATTCTTCATTTTGCTTTGTAGGTAACGAAGGGCCATCATCTGCAGTAGAGAGAAAAAGCAAACAAACCCAACACACTGATTTTCACTTTATTCACAGTGTGTATCTTCACACTATCATATTACACAAAATTAACTGAAAGCTTGACTAAATCCAGAATTATTGCCATGTGAACTGTTCATCATACCTGAATCTTCCATTAAAGAGGGGTCTACCTTTGGCGACAAGAAAGCTATGAAGAGATTTAGAAGGTAGATTCCCAAGGCATATGTCACAATGTACCAACCCTGAAGAGGGAGAGGAAAAAAGAAGAAAGATTAAAACTTCCTGATCTTGTTTAAAAATAAATATCCAACAACTCAGTTTTAGTGTCTTTAGCAGGTCCTTTTCTACATCTTCATATTTAGAAGAATTTTTTTCTGGACTTCTTTTATGCCTTAAGATATAAGAGCAATTCCCTAATATATTAGGCAGATTTAATATAAATGCTTTCTTCAAATATCCAGTTTCTACAATAAAAATCCCCAATATAGTAGTGAATAGCATACAAATAAGTTTTCTATAGTTTTTACAGGCTTCAAAGTCTTAAATGTCTTTATTATTATGATACTCAAACTTCTCACATTTGATTTGTAAACCTTCAGGAATATAAGCTCTCAAGCGGATTGTACCTTGTCATGGAATAGAGATACCTGATCAGTGGAGAAATGGTTTGCCATTTTAAGTGAAGCAAATTTTTCATAAGTTTATTTTTTTAAATTTCAGCAGAACTGGGGGAGTTTTCCCAATTTCTGTCACCATCAAATGAATATCTTTAATCATTAATGCATTTTTCAGTCTGAAGCAGGAATTTCAGCAGCCATTAGATGTGTTCCTTCTTCAGACTATCTGGGTCATTTGTTTTTTTTTAGTGTACATGGTCATGATACTAATTATATAAGGTATCACACTTCAGAAATAAGAGGAAAAAAACACCATAAAACAAAACAATAAGAACAATGGTGGTATCTAAAGCAAGTTTAGCAATAAACTCGGTTTTCCTACCTGCAGTAAATACACTCTAATCATGTAGAGAAAACTCAGGCCCAAAGTTACAATCCATCTCACTGCAGTATATGGAGTAGATTTATCTAACCAGGACTGGTAGATCTAGGAGGAAATATAAAGTGTGTATCTGTAAAATACATGACACAATAAACAATGTTTATTACCACATAGCAGTCTAGAAATTATAACTACTTTGAAACTGTTCTGGAAAGCAAAGCAAGATTAAACATTTTCCTTTTTTCAATACAGATTTACTTAATAATTAATTATAAGCATGATGATACACAAGTCCTATATTTCTACAAAAAGATATATATATATATATTCTCCTCATTCTTGGGCATTATACATTTAAATTTCCAGTATTTCAAGTCAGTTTGCTTTCCTTAAGACATTTCTGACAGAAAATCTCAAGTCACTCAGCATTCCTGATAATAAAGTTATAAATTTTGACTAAAAGTCAAATACACACCAACTGTATATTTTGCTAAGCTATGTATTTAACATGCCATCTATTTTTAAAACACTTTAGAAGAAACCTTTTGTGCAGATTTTAGTATTTCAATAGCTCTTTTGAGAAATAAAAAGTGAAAAAGTTGCACTGAGACCCATTTGGAGTTTGAAAAGCCCTACAGAAAACCAACCTGTCCAAGCCTTGTGAAAAATCTATAGACCATAGACGGCTTTCCATGAACAGACTCACCAACACTGTCCCCTTCTGACATTCTTGCTGTGGAAACAAGAGAGTTACACAGATAACATTTAAAATCAAATCAAAGCTCAGTGAAGCTTTGAGGTACATTATCTGAACCTGCATTTACATATGATATTATTTTGGACTGTCCTGAATCAAATTATCTATACTGAAGTATGCTTAAAAGTCAGATGCATATTCTACAATATATAGCATGTTTTATAAAAACAGGACAAGGGGATCCAATCTATTCTAGTGAGGGGAAAAAAGTCCATACAGAAATTAAGGAATAAGCCTTGTTAATCAAGAAGTTAGACATCTTCACCTTGAAACTCTAAGCACTGAGATTTGTACCGCAGCACCACCCTCCTCTCCCCCTCAGTTTCTGAGGGCAAAGAACAAAATCAAAATAAAAACACATTTTTGAACTACTTAGTATTTCCGAGTACTAAGAGAAGATAGCGAAGCAATTCAATCTTAGGACATGAGTGATTTCAAACAAGTCTTTACCACAACCACCTAATTCAAACCCTGCTTATTGCTGGAGTCCTTGTGCGAGTTCCTCCACACAGCGCTGCGTATGACCACGTATGCCTGTCACACATGCAACTCTTCCACACTGAACTATGGAATACAACCAGCTAAACCTCTGTTTTACCAGCAAGACACCTGTCACTGTCTCAGTTTAAGTGGCATAGACTAAAGTATCAATTTCATATTTATAATTCAAGAATTTTAATTAATATCACCAATTCCTTTAAAACAGTTAATTAAAGAGCATATGTAATTAGCAAAGGGTCAAGAAAAACAATCTTTGGCATTTGTTTCTTTTGCTAAACTTGGTTTACAGTTAAGAAAAGAGATCTCTTGGTATGGATGAAAATTTAAACTAAAGAATAACTTCTCTTTCACAATATAAAATTTTACTATTCAGCATAGTGTGAGCTGTTCAACCAGCTAAATAAAGCCAATAATCAAAAAAAAAAATCAGAACAACAAACAATTGAACAGTTTGGTGCTAACAGAATATAGATTGCTACCAAAACCAAACCATACCAAGAGGCTTTTCTGGACCAAAATAAAAACAAGTAGGCGAGTAAACAGCCTTCAACAATTAACCTTTTTACGACAGATGCTATGCTGATTTCGCTAAATCCTAGAATTCTGAAAAATAACACGATTTAGAGAAGACATTTTATTCATCTCTTTCAAACGCAAGGCAGCGAGGTAAGACTTACAGATTTTTTAAGAGGGCTCTCTAACCATGACACTGATATCTTTAAGTGTAAAAATATAAATGAAGCAAGTTACTACGAAGAATTTATCACTTGCATAAGCCTCCTCTTCCCATAGAAGAAGCTTTTTTCAAAAGCAACGTTCTGAGGCAATTTATTAATAGTGAGAGCAGACCAGCACTGAGGAGCCACCCACTGATCTCATGAGCTTTCTCTCCTATGCTGCAAAGAGGGGCTTCATTCGTGGCCGCACAAGCAGCAGCCCCACAGCCCCGGTGATAACGAATGTGCGGGAAGCAGAAGCTGCCCTAAGAGACCAGAGCGGAGGCCTGCAGAGCCAGGGAACTCCGGAGGGCTGGGAAGGGGAAGGCAAAGCCCGGCTGGATCCCCACGGTCGAGTGGGAGCGCGGGGACGGCCTCCGGGCCGGCCCAGGCCCCTCTGCTCGCAACAGCGCCCCTCGCCCGGCCC